CCTTATCTGTACATAACGCTTCCTCCCCCTGGAAAAAAAAAAAAGAAGCTACTTAAACTTAATTACCTGCTCATTAAACCTCTCCTTCTCGTGTACATAGTTAGGCAAAGCAATGATCTCCACCTTAATTTCATAAAACAATAAATGAAAAAGATATATTAATAATAAAAACAGAAAGACAAAGCTTTAATTAACATTTGTCAAAGAACCATAATAATAATAATAATAATATCATAGATAAGGAAGATGAAATCAACCCACATTAAAAAAATCACCCAGAGTCTGAGCCTTGGGTTTAGCAGCTGCAGCCCATATCTGTATAATTTAGAAGAGTAAAGAACATGCATAATTAAGAGGAATTATTTTACAACAATTGTCTCACAATGATCAAGGGAGAGTACATGAACAATATCGCACCTGATCAATATCTCGCCTCAGAATATGTTTTAGACGTTCAAGTGGAGTCTACATGAACACTCAGAAGAGACAGATTCACCCGTATATATTAATATATGACAGATTAACACTAAGAGACACAGATGTAATTAAACGATGTAAATCTATGTTTAGGGACAGAGCACAAATTAAACACTACCGGTGTTTGGTCGCGTAGAACAAACAACAAGGTTGTTTTGCGGGCGCCAAATAAACGCGTCATGGCCTGCATGTAAACAGCAGTAATTGGGATGTCATTCATCCTTCGGATTCTATTATAATAGGCTCAAAGGAAAATGGTTAGAGTACCTCAAAAACTGTTTTCAAAAGGGGTCTGCTGGCAGCTTGTTCTCGACCAATGTCATGGCACCACCTGTATACAAAGATAATTCAACACGAGTTGATTCTTGAATTCGTTGACTTTCCAGCATGTGTCGTGGCTGATTACCAGCAAAGGAGAGCTTAAACAAAAGCGAGGAACTTATAATAGCTTGATTGTAATATTCATTTTAATTTCTGTCCCAATTACCAGTATCTTGCTTTATTTTAGATGCAAAAATAAAGGGGAAGATATTCACAAATTAGAAATAAGGATACGAAAATATTAGGAATAATTAAACTCACATGTTTATTATTACAATGTCAGCAATTGCCAAAGCAAAGAGAGCACTTCGCTTTTCAAATGTTGTTGTGCCGTCCTGAAAGCAGATATCATAAAATTAATCTTTAAATTGCAGTACCGTAGCTATAATATATGGAATTAATTTGACACTCGCTATTAAATCTCTAATAACAATATTGTTGATAGAAACACAAGTCGGAGAATAATTTTATTGAATTTTAATTATTACAATTAAAACTCTACTTAAATTAATTAACTTAATAAAGGCTTAATTAAGAGTTTATGATTCATAATGACCATATGTCGCTACTAATAATTAAAGCCATGGCGTCATATCAGTTATGTTACACCTTCATATATATATAAGAATAGACTGTGATTATTTCATAATGACCATATGTAGATACTAGTTTTAAAGTACAATCTTAGAAAGTCGAAAGCAAACTTTTTGAACACTTGGGGCTAGACAAAGAAATCACCATTGGCGATTAAGCACAGCTAATTATTTAAAACAATCAATTGAATTTTTTCTGTACAACAAAATCATGTAATGTTAGATGCAAAGCAAGCTTAATTAATTTATACTTGGCCTCTTTCGCTGCTGTCCGATCCCTCCACATCGATGGCAATTGTGAAAGGCTCAATACCAATACCCTTCCCAATCCAAATCCCCTGGGTTGTTTGACCCCTGAAAATATTAGCTAATTAAACCATCTTTCATATCATGGCGCAAAACCAGAATATATAGACGAATCCTCATTTATAAAACAAATTAAAAACACCAAACCTTCCTTCATATGCATCCATCATCGTGAAATCTGTCCGAAAGAGCTGATTCAAGAGGGTGCTCTTCCCTGTTCACCAAAGAAGGCAAATTAAACAATTTACATGCTTTCTCTGCATGCTAAGTGTGCTATAAACACACATATACGGTACAGATCACTACAGCAAATATCTAACCACTATTGATACAAAAGAAAAAGAAAATGTGACTCTTGTTATTAATTGTACATAAGAGAAAAAAGTTTGCAAGTATACCGCTACTTTGGGGGCCAATAATTGCAACAGCAGCATAAGAGAGACGACGCTGGGCGAGGTTAGTGGTCCTCGTGAAGCTTTCTAGTCCTTTCAAGTTTAAGACACCGGCACCGCTAATGAGTTGGAAACTGCAACAATCTTCCGCCATTATTACTGTATAACTCAGCCCAACAGCTTTAGACTGTGTTTAAGTAACAAGAATTTTACGTACGAGAAGAGAAGGGATGGAAGGGATTTTATAGACAACTCAGCTTTCGATTTTCGATTTTGCAAGCGCACACCATGTGGAAAAACGGGGACACTATTAAGGTAGACTTGACAGCTAGGACTATAAGGGCTTAGAATTCTGCTGTGTACAGTTTTACTAGACAAGTGGCACACAACTTGGATTGGGTTTGACTGAGGAGAGAACGCCTGCTTTGAAAATTCAAGCAAAGTCACCTGTCGATTCGAGTCATCTTGCGAGGAATCCGAACGAGCAGTCTCTCTACTCCTTTGCGTTCGAGTGGATTGGCCTGCCTGTCCAAAACCACTGGCTCCAATTTTAATCCTACAATTAGATTTTATTTTTTGTTTCTGTAGAAGGACTTCAATTTCGATCCTGCCCTATCAAGAAATTGTTCAGATTTTCACCGTGGATCCATTGAAAGTTTAACCGGAGTAGATATTATTTTTATTAATATAAATTAAAATTTTTTAGAATTATATCCAAGCATTTAAGCTAGTTTATTTTTATCTTGAACTAATTAATTCTAGATACTCAATAATTGTTACTTGTTCTTCATTTTTATATTTGTTAGATGTATGTTTACCCAACCGCAAGTGAATGAAAGTGAGACATAAATGTTATTCCATAATTTAACCCTTTTGTGGGAATTTGTGGGTCTATATAATAAATAAATAAATTTATTTTTTAAAATATTTTAAAACAAAAAAACAAACTATATCTAACCCGTGAGTGAATAATTTAGTGCCAGCTGATGTCAAGTTGGGTTCCGAATCTAAATTGGCACTTGTTAGCCATCCACGTGTGAATAGAAAAATGTTACTCCGCGACTGAATCCATCCAAGTCAATTTATATACAAATTTTATAGGCTGCAATCATGTTGGTCGATAAATTCATAAGAAAACAAAATTTAAATTCGTCACGGGATTTGCACTTCAGTCCTCAAATTAATAATGTCCGATGGGATTCTTATTTTTTTAATCTCTTTCTCTTGACTTGACTTGCTCGATTCCTTTTACCAATTAACAAACTTATCTTAACTTGACTTGAATTTTATTTATTTATTTATTATTATTATTATTATTATTATTATTATTATTATTATTATTTTTTGCTAGAACTTCCACCTAAATCTTTCAAATCCCTTTGTGAAGACGCATTTATGAAGCCACTTCAAGTTCATTATTATGAATTATTTTTATTGTTATTTTCTAAAAATCACCCCCTAAATGCGGGTCCCTCTCTCTATGAACAACACAAGAGGTTTATATATTTTTTTTTTTTGACTTAAATGGAGTGTCCGGATCAGCTTGCACGCACCACGACTAATCTCTACAGCCTACTAAATACCCTACAAATCCAGTAAATATGTAAAGCATCACGAGAATGATAGGCATGCACGCCATGGTTTACACTTATAAAAGCACAACAACTGTCTTTCTCAATAGAGGAAGTTACAGGGTAATGATAGGCGGGGCTTTTCCTTCATTGCATTTACTGCTTAAAGGCCTAATTTGGTGTCTTTTCTAAATTTAGGAAGTTACAGGGTAATAACAGATTCATTGCATCTAAATTTTTCTCTTGTTTTATGCAACAACTGGCTTTAATTTAGTGTGTTTTCTAAATTGGCAACCGTGTGTGAATAACAGTGTTGGAGAAAAAAGTAATATTCCAATGCAAATTGTACCCTGGAAGAATCTCCGTCCTCGAACACAAATATTTTTTTAAAAAAATCATTACCATTCTATGGAGCTCGACAGAATCTTTCTAAGTCAATTCATATGTTTTCTAAATTGGCAACCCTGTCTTATCTCTTTGGTTCTTTCTGGGTAGATTCTGCCAAAGACTTGGTTTCTTAATCTTCACAATATTAACATCCGTTTCGCCAGTTGTTCTTGGGTCAAGGATATAAACAAACCCTTTTGTCTGGTTTTTTGTATTAAAGAAGCTTGGGCTGCCTTGACAGGCCTCTGGGTTTCTTCAGTTGGGTTATGAGATGTTTTGGTCTGGGCCCATTTCTTTTCCTTGGATAAGGCTTATCTGGGTTCTAGCAAATGAGCTTACATTATCATATTATGGGGTTGGTTCTGAATAAAAAATTATCCATAAGAACAAAATATGGAAAAAGCAATCTGCATTACCAATATGCATACTTGAACATAACCTCTTACCATGTGCGTGTCTTCCAAAGATGGATCAGCAACTTTTCTGTTCATAAGAGTTATGCCTTTATTACCAAGATACAAAGAAAGTTGGAGATTAATTACTTACCGAAAATATCATATTAAAAGTTCCCTCCTTCTACCTCCATTGAATATTACTCTACAATACTGAATTCCATTAATCTATGATGAGAGATTTGCAAGATTACCATTTGTACAAAGTTAAAATATTTTTACCATTAATGTTGATTACCATTGGTAGAAACTGATGATGTTTTTACCAGTACCGCTTATCAAATTACGAACAAACTTTTTTCATCAGTTTCACCATAACATGTTTCATGGATCGTTGGGCACACAAATATAAACTGTCCATGTGTGGATTTGTCATTATTACTGTTGTCACAGCCTCGTCACTCTCATGAAAGTCGCAGCCCCTGCATTTAACACTGCGGCGGCCCCAGCTACTGCCGCAGCAGCCCCACCACGACCCCAGCTACTGCCGCAGCAGCCCCAGGAGCAGCAGCAGCAGCAGCAAGTGCTGCTGCAGCAGCAGCAGCAGCAACAGCAGCGGCAACAGCAGCATGAACTGCAGCAGCTGCATACCTTCCAGTTTTCCTGTGACCATCCTGAAGGAAACACCATGTATTACATTTCGAGTGATGCATAAATTTCTAGTCATAAAATCTTTAATCGGCTTAAAGTTTTTTCTTGGTTTCGGTGCTTAAGTGTAGAAGTATAGGAACTTTAATTGGCATATAAATTGAAGATGGCAAATGATAAACCGAGAATGTTCTAATAAATTAAGTTTAAAGTTTTTTAGTAAGAAAAACATTCAAACAGATATTGTGAATGCAATCAAATTACCAAATGAACATGTAATGTGATACCAGAGTAAAATATACCTGGCGGGATCTAGCTCCGGTCACCATAGGTTTTATCTTTTCTATGAAATTCATCCACAATGATTTGCAGTCCTCTGGTTTAAGTAGAGTGGTAGCTTCTGGAGACACCTGCTCATATTTGATTATTATGAGAAATCAGTTTGACTCAGAGACGTGTAAAACTAAATGCATTACATTTGCATACCAATAAGCATGCATAAATATAAATTAACACACATTCACCAATTGTCACCTCTTCCCCTGTGTCTGAGGCATGGGCGTCCGGTGCAGCTCCCATGAATGTATTGTGCAAAGATGGATCAGGAACAGTTCTATCCATAGTAAAAAAATATGATCAGGCATTTGGTCGAAGCGCATGGCCGCCATGATTGATAGTATTCTCAAAAACTATAACAAAATAATTGAGAGACATTCAGAGGTAACTCAAAGTTTAACCATTTAAGCATCCCAGCGGCCATTAATTAGACAAAATCTAGGCAATGTCACCTCTGAGAGCGCGTTCCTTTCAATTTCATCAAGGTTTATTTCCCTAGTCCTATACCATGACATTGAGTTTTCGTAATGTCTGAGTACCTGTGAAAACCTAGAGTACGCTCCAAAGCTTTAATAAAAAAACAAAAGGGAAAAAGAAAACAGCTGCAATTATGTAATGTACCTATCCTTCATGCGCATCAGAACTCTCCCTGCATCTGCTGCTTCTCTTGGCTTCATCTTCGCTAAATTATTGGCATGCTCCCTCATATGTTGCAATTTAGGGTCGATAGCAGAACTACGCAAAACGAAACTAACATCAGCATCTGAAAACTCTGATATAGCTTCCTTAGTGTTGCACTCAAAAACATCTCTTATTGATGCCCGTGTATCTCTTTCACCAGCTTCCAATTTGGTAAACGCATGAGTTATTTGTTTCTGTGCAGGAGCAACATATCAAGATTTGATAATTCGATTGAGTAGAGTGACATGCATACCACCAAGAACACTAACAGATTGTGATGTCAGTGAAGGAAATACCTCGTAACTTGCCACCATTTCTGACAACATATCGCAAATAAGTTTTTCCCGGAATTTTGAAGCATTCCACTCACTCTGTTGAATGGCAGCATCTGAAAGAGCACAATATTGAAGGTAACGTACCAAATCTAGGAAAATGAGTTAGTAGATGAAAGATGCTCACCAATCATATGAACACAATTTTAATCATAGAAGGACAAGCTGTAAAAGCAACATCTTAAAAAGTTGTGGTCGCTGTGTTTTATTTTGTCCACTAAGTTACTTTGTTCAATGAAGTATCCATTAAACTAGCATTAATCTTCTTGATGCAGACAAGTTTATAAACACTATGTAGATAGCTTAACAAATATTTCATTGACCAATAAAACAAGTTTAGACACAAGAGGAGACATAGTCATATCAAACTAGGTTAACACCTTAAAACTGAGATAACAGAAAATCCGATTATTGAGTCGGGTTCAGATTTTTCTAGGTGGTGATTCTATAGAATGTTTTCCTATGAAAATCTACTCTATACTTAATGAACTGTTGAATCTTTTAGAATTAGGCCTATAAGTTACTATTTGCGATAATTTTAATTTTTTCCTGGGATTTTCTGGATTTATCATTATTATTTTGGATTTTCTTTTAATTTCCTTTATGTTTTCAGATATTCGGTGACATTAGGTTGTTTCCTGGTAGATGTAGGTTTTCTTGGCCTTTATAAAGGACATGTAAATTTATTGAGAAAGCAGCCAATTTTTAAAGAATAAAATCGCAAATTTAAGATTCACATCTACTATCCTTTTCACTCATTAAAATTTATGTGCTTGCAGTACTATCGGTGTTCTATTAGCTTCTGCCTGCATCACTTTTAGATTTCACTTTTAGAGTGAAAATTGTAACAACTTGAGATTTGCACGAGTACAAAAAGCAAGTGGTCAACTAAGAAGAGGAAGTGGAGGACCACATCCTGAGAATGTTGACTACCTACTGTATACCTTCATTGATTCCAGTGATAGAGCGGATAC